CCCCCAGTCATCCCTGATTGTACATTATGATCCCTAATCATCCCTGATTGTACATTATGATCCCTAATCATCCCTGATTGTACATTATGATCCCTAATCATCCCTGATTGTACATTATGATCCCCCAGTCATCCCTGATGGTACATTATGATCCCCAGTCATCCCTGATGGTACATTATGATCCCCAGTCATCCCTGATGGTACATTATGATCCCTAATCATCCCTGATGGTACATTATGATCCCTAATCATCCCTGATTGTACATTATGATCCCTAATCATCCCTGATTGTACATTATGATCCCCAGTCATCCCTGATGGTACATTATGATCCCCAGTCATCCCTGATTGTACATTATGATCCCCAGTCATCCCTGATTGTACATTATGATCCCTAATCATCCCTGATTGTACATTATGATCCCTAATCATCCCTGATGGTACATTATGATCCCCAGTTGTCCCTGATGGTACATTATGATCCCTAATCATCCCTGATTGTACATTATGATCCCTAATCATCCCTGATTGTACATTATGATCCCTAATCATCCCTGATGGTACATTATGATCCCCAGTTGTCCCTGATTGTACATTATGATCCCTAATCATCCCTGATTGTACATTATGATCCCCAGTCATCCCTGATGGTACATTATGATCCCTAATCATCCCTGATGGTACATTATGATCCCTAATCATCCCTGATTGTACATTATGATCCCCAGTCATCCCTGATTGTACATTATGATCCCCAGTCATCCCTGATGGTACATTATGATCCCTAATCATCCCTGATGGTACATTATGATCCCCAATCATCCCTGATGGTACATTATGATCCCCAGTCATCCCTGATGGTACATTAAGATCCCCAGTTGTCCCTGATGGTACATTATGATCCCCCCGTGTTCCCTGATTGTACATATGATTTCCTGTCATCCCTGATGATATACTTTTGTCTGTAACATTGGAGAAACACACCTTCAGACAGTCAATGATTGTTAATTTTTCACACCCTGATCAAGATAACTTTTCCTTTCTTGAGATTATTCAAATTGGGATATCAATTTCACTGGCCATCCACTCATCAGTCATAAGCCAGAGGGATAGTGACATGGTTCTGTCAGATAACTGAACCACTACATCATTGATATCTAATATCTGTGTTTTGATAGGAAAGTGGTGCTAGTACTAGATCATGTAGAAGTGTCAGACTGTAGGATTACACAGGGTAAATCAGCCTTAGATATATATTGTACCAGTTAATAGACATGTACAGGGTTAAAACCTCTAATCCTCACAAATAATACACAAATTTATCAGTGTTTTGTCAATGTTTTCTGGATTACTGGACTGAGTGTTATTCATGCATTTCTTCATTTTGTCTGATTTATGCAATAGAATTTTTTTTTTAACAACAAGAATTTGATAAAATTCTGCATTAGGTTTTAATTGAAACCATTTGGATCACCGGAACTCTGTGGTTATATCCCAAATCTAGTTCATCATGTATAAAACAGTAATCGGAAAATCATTCTCAAATTTACTGACAGTCAAATTCAAACAAGTGACATAATTCCACAAATAAACAGGGATTTCCTATATATAAGAATCATTATGATTATGTTATGGTTGAGTTTGCAAAACAATGGAGTCATGACAGAAACAGTCATAAAACTGAAAATATATGAGAAAGCTGCCTGCTGACCTATTACAAACCTATGTAGAAAGTGTAATAAACCTGTGTAGACAGACTGTAATAAACCTGTGTAGACAGACTGTAATAAACCTGTGTAGACAGACTGTAATAAACCTGTGTAGACTGACAGTGTAATAAACCTGTGTAGACAGACTGTAATAAACCTGTGTAGACAGACTGTAATAAACCTGTGTAGACAGACTGTAATAAACCTGTGTAGACAGACAGTGTAATAAACCTGTGTAGACAGACAGTGTAATAAACCTGTGTAGACAGACTGTAATAAACCTGTGTAGACTGACAGTGTAATAAACCTGTGTAGACTGACAGTGTAATAAACCTGTGTAGACTGACAGTGTAATAAACCTGTGTAGACTGACAGTGTAATAAACCTGTGTAGACAGACTGTAATAAACCTGTGTAGACTGACAGTGTGATAAACCTGTGTAGACTGACAGTGTAATAAACCTGTGTAGACAGACTGTAATAAACCTGTGTAGACAGACTGTAATAAACCTGTGTAGACAGACTAAAATAAACCTGTGTAGACAGACAGTGTAATAAACCTGTGTAGACTGACAGTGTAATAAACCTGTGTAGACTGATACTGTAATAAACCTGTGTAGACAGACTGTAATAAACCTGTGTAGACAGACTGTAATAAACCTGTGTAGACTGACAGTGTAATAAACCTGTGTAGACTGACAGTGTAATAAACCTGTGTAGACTGACAGTGTAATAAACCTGTGTAGACTGACAGTGTAATAAACCTGTGTAGACAGACTGTAATAAACCTTTGTAGACTGACAGTGTAATAAACCTGTGTAGACAGACAGTGTAATAAACCTGTGTAGACTGACAGTGTAATAAACCTGTGTATACTGACAGTGTAATAAACCTGTGTAGACAGACTGTAATAAACCTGTGTAGACAGACTGTAATAAACCTGTGTAGACAGACAGTGTAATAAACCTGTGTAGACTGACAGTGTAATAAACCTGTGTAGACAGACTGTAATAAACCTGTGTAGACTGACAGTTAGATAAACCTGTGTAGACTGACAGTGTAATAAACCTGTGTAGACAGACTGTAATAAACCTGTGTAGACAGACTGTAATAAACCTGTGTAGACAGACTGTAATAAACCTGTGTAGACAGACTGTAATAAACCTGTGTAGACAGACTGTAATAAACCTGTGTAGACAGACTGTAATAAACCTGTGTAGACTGACAGTGTAATAAACCTGTGTAGACAGACTGTAATAAACCTGTGTAGACTGACAGTGTGATAAACCTGTGTAGACTGACAGTGTAATAAACCTGTGTAGACAGACTGTAATAAACCTGTGTAGACAGACTGTAATAAACCTGTGTAGACAGACTAAAATAAACCTGTGTAGACAGACAGTGTAATAAACCTGTGTAGACTGACAGTGTAATAAACCTGTGTAGACTGATACTGTAATAAACCTGTGTAGACAGACTGTAATAAACCTGTGTAGACAGACTGTAATAAACCTGTGTAGACTGACAGTGTAATAAACCTGTGTAGACTGACAGTGTAATAAACCTGTGTAGACTGACAGTGTAATAAACCTGTGTAGACTGACAGTGTAATAAACCTGTGTAGACAGACTGTAATAAACCTTTGTAGACTGACAGTGTAATAAACCTGTGTAGACAGACAGTGTAATAAACCTGTGTAGACTGACAGTGTAATAAACCTGTGTATACTGACAGTGTAATAAACCTGTGTAGACAGACTGTAATAAACCTGTGTAGACAGACTGTAATAAACCTGTGTAGACAGACAGTGTAATAAACCTGTGTAGACTGACAGTGTAATAAACCTGTGTAGACAGACTGTAATAAACCTGTGTAGACTGACAGTGTGATAAACCTGTGTAGACTGACAGTGTAATAAACCTGTGTAGACAGACTGTAATAAACCTGTGTAGACAGACTGTAATAAACCTGTGTAGACAGACTGTAATAAACCTGTGTAGACAGACTGTAATAAACCTGTGTAGACAGACTGTAATAAACCTGTGTAGACAGACTGTAATAAACCTGTGTAGACTGACAGTGTAATAAACCTGTGTAGACAGACTGTAATAAACCTGTGTAGACAGACTGTAATAAACCTGTGTAGACAGACAGTGTAATAAACCTGTGTAGACTGACAGTGTAATAAACCTGTGTAGACAGACTGTAATAAACCTGTGTAGACAGACTGTAATAAACCTGTGTAGACAGACTGTAATAAACCTGTGTAGACTGACAGTGTAATAAACCTGTGTAGACAGACTGTAATAAACCTGTGTAGACTGACAGTGTAATAAACCTGTGTAGACAGACTGTAATAAACCTGTGTAGACAGACTGTAATAAACCTGTGTAGACAGACTGTAATAAACCTGTGTAGACAGACTGTAATAAACCTGTGTAGACAGACTGTAATAAACCTGTGTAGACTGACAGTGTAATAAACCTGTGTAGACTGACAGTGTAATAAACCTGTGTAGACAGACTGTAATAAACCTGTGTAGACAGACAGTGTAATAAACCTGTGTAGACTGACAGTGTAATAAACCTGTGTAGACAGACTGTAATAAACCTGTGTAGACTGACAGTGTAATAAACCTGTGTAGACTGACAGTGTGAGAAAAATCTGTAGATTGACAGTATAATAAACATTTAAATTGAAAAGGTTCCCTTTTAAGAAATAAAAGATTTCCCTCATACTTTTTCAAATGCAAAATGCTTGAGAAAAATCAGAATAAAACTTTTCGTTAGCTTATTGATTTTCTTTGTGAAGTTTCAGCTAAACAGCCACACTGAGTACCTACCCGACACCTCCAGAAATTAGATCAATGCATTTGATTGTAGCACACTAATACAGTAATAGCACTGAAATGAGCCTCGACAGTGTGTCAGTTATTACAGCAATAACCCATGTACCATTTTAATGGAATTCTCAATTCTACTGAACTCATTGACAGAATCAGGTGTTTTATCAATTAGACCTCAAATCAGATGGTTTTAGCAACATCTTTCTCTCAGTGTAATTCAAATGAAACTTCAATTGCAATTTTAGAATATTGGTTTTCAATGAAAAAATGAATTTATTTAACAGATATTTGTCAGCCAGGGCAATTTTTTATTTTGTCAAAAGTCATAAAATTATATTATTTTTTCAAGGTTAAGATTAAGAACTACAGAAAAAATACCCAAGTTGTTTTACAGATCAAAATGTTTTCTTAACAAGATATCAAACGTTTTTGTTTTTGTTTTTGCAGAATTGGCTGGGGTTGTCAAGGAAACGTGTAATGGAAAGAGAGCAGTTACCATGGATTTGGATGACACATGTCCGGTTCCTGATAAAACCATGGTACCTGTTAATGGAGCAAATGGCAAACACGGTAATGTTAGTTCACAATATATGCTTGATTCAGTGATGACTTCACAAATAAAACATGTCTAATTATCTACAAAGGTTTCTGGTTGTCTAATTAAGGCACACAGTCCCAAGAATGAATTACAATTTCAAAGAGATTTTTAAGGTTGAGCAAATTATATATTGCTTCAAATTGAATTTAGATTTGAAGTTTTAAAAAAAAACGTAAATAAATTAAATAAAAGATATATTTAGATTAAACATTTTTGAAAATCTGTTTGTAACTAAAATGTTAAAATTTCAACTTTTCATTTCAAGATCAATGAAATATAGGAGAAATCAGAGAATGAAAGTTATATGTCCACAACAGGTGTTTACGTTTTCAAACTGAATATGATCTGTATTTGTTACAACCTGTGTATCTGGCTTCTTATTATATTAGTATAATTATCATGTTTGGATGGCGTGCATGAATGTTGATTAACCTAAATATTTCAATATTAACTACATTTCCCAGGAAAATATACAAAATCTGTAGTAACATAAGATTTCGTAAACAATATACTGACATCACAAAAAAAGATAGCACAGCAGGTCAATATTACAAGGGATTGATTGGACAAAAGATCACAGATACAAAACATTCTCTGCTATGAAGATGGATATATAGAATTCTTAATCAAATGTTTTTAGCAGAGATTAATTCAAATCAATTCATCTCTGAAGGACAGCTGGATTTGGTAACTGTAAATGATTTAGGAGATGGGGACAAGCTTTGGGGAGGAGATTGGGGGCAAAGAGGAGGTTGCGAATTGATGTGAGGGATTGGAAAAGAGGTAGGATGGGTAGGGATAGGGGTGGGGTATAGATGGATGTGGGGATTGGATTAGAGGTGGGATATGGGTGGGGTATAGATGGATGTGGGTGGGGATCGGAATAGAGGTGGGATATGGGTAGAGGTAGGGGTTGGGATAGGGGTAGCATATGCATGAGAAAACATGTCTTTAAACCCAGAACAAATCACCTAGGACACTTAAATCCATCTAAATGATTTTTATGAGTTAAGGGTGTATATCACCTAACATGCATCTCCTTTATTGAGAATATAAGGCTGCAAAACCATGGGTTGATATAATCTTTCAACAACATTTAGGAATGATTGCTTTGATAATTCTTAGTGATTATGCATTATTAGAAAGAAAGCAGTAAAATGGGGAGATAACCCGAACACAAATGTTGGAAATAAAGCAGAATCAACTGATAAGGTGACTGAAACTTTCTGTAATACATATGGAGAAACCAAATTGTATTTTAAGCTTTAAGTATTTGCTGATATTTGTTCAGTTCAGTGGTGGCCGTAAGCTTTATTGGATGTTTTAAATATTCTACCACAGTTCAATTTCATTATAAACTTGAAACTTGAATATTTCATTAAAAAAAGTTCAGCATTTGATTTAGTTCACAGATTGTTTAAAAGATTTAAATCATTAAACAGATTAAAAAGAAGCAATGAGATCATAAATTTTATGTACACTGGTTTTCAATTAATTCATTCTGAATTAGAAGCCTTTAGTTTCAAACTAAGTTACTGTATAAAGATTAATTTCAGAAGGCATATATATTTCTTCCACAATCAGTTACTTAAGACCCTAACTGTTTCTTTAATATAGCTTTTGGTGATGCATATAGTTAAAGGTGGCAAAGTAAAATAAGGGAGGTAAATTTATACTGAGTAAGACAAGGGAGGTAATGTTTTTTTCTCTGAGTAAGACAAGGAGTTAATGCTATACTGTGAGTTAGATCAGGGAGGTAATGCTATATTATGAGTAAGATAAGGGAGATAATGCTATACTATGAGTAATGTAAGGGGGATAATGCTATATTATGTGTAATGTAAGGGGGATAATGATATACTATGAGTGAGATAAGGGAGATATAGCTATATTATAAGTAAGATAAGGGAGATAATGCTATACTATGAGTGAGATAAGGGAGATAATGCTATATTATGAGTAATGTAAGGGGGATAATGATATACTATGAGTGAGATAAGGGAGATAATGCTATACTATGAGTAATGTAGGGGGGATAATGCTATATTATGTGTAAGATAAGGGAGATATAGCTATATTATAAGTAAGATAAGGGAGATAATGCTATACTATGAGTGAGATAAGGGAGATATAGCTATATTATAAGTAAGATAAGGGAGATAATGCTATACTATGAGTGAGATAAGGGAGATAATGCTATATTATGAGTAATGTAAGGGGGATAATGATATACTATGAGTGAGATAAGGGAGATAATGCTATATTATGAGTAATGTAAGGGGGATAATGCTATACTATGAGTGAGATAAGGGAGATACTGCTATATTATGAGTAAGATAAGTGAGATAATGATATACTATGATTAAGATAAGGGAGATAATGATAAAATATGAGTAAAATAAGGTGAAGGGGGGGTAATGCTGTTATTTTGAGTAAAGTAGAGAGTTAATACTTTAATTTTGAGTAAGAAAAGGGAGGTAATGTTATTTGAGTAACAGAAGGTAGATAATTCAATAATTTTGAGTTTTGAGTAAGATAAAGGAGGTAATGCTATAAACTTTAGTTAGATAAGGGAGATAATACTATTATTTTGAGTTAGATAATGGAGGTAATTACTATTATTTTGAGTTAGATAATGGAGGTAATTACTATTATTTTGAGTTAGGTAATGGAGGTAATTACTATTATTTTGAGTTAGATAATGGAGGTAATTACTATTATTTTGAGTTAGATAATGGAGGTAATTACTATTATTTTGAGTTAGATAAGGGAGGTAATTACTATTATTTTGAGTTAGATAATGGAGGTAATTACTATTATTTTGAGTTAGATAATGGAGGTAATTACTATTATTTTGAGTTAGATAATGGAGGTAATTACTATTATTTTGAGTTAGATAATGGAGGTAATTACTATTATTTTGAGTTAGATAATGGAGGCAATTACTATTATTTTGAGTTAGATAATGGAGGTAATTACTATTATTTTGAGTTAGATAAGGGAGATAATGCTACAATGTTGAGTTAGATAAGGGAGGTAATGTTATAATTTTGGGTATGATGAGGAAGGTTATGTTATACTTTTGAGTAAGATAATGAAAGTAATGTTATACTTTTGGATTACAGTTCCCAACATAGCAAGTGTCACATCTGAGTGTGTTAATGAGAGTAATTTGATGCTGGCGGCCCTCAATGGATTCCTGATGGTCCTGGACCGAAAGAAAAACATCATATTTGTATCTGATAATGTGGAAGGGTTTCTTGGCATTTCACAAGTAAGTGCAAATACTACAGAGGTTTACAACGATTGAAGTTTGAAATACTATTAAACCTCATTTATTTTAAAACATTTGTGAAGCAAGCCATCACAGCTTATAATAATTAATCTTGTTGGCATGGATGGAAGTGCTTGAGTTATTTATTGTGGGAGTACGTGGGGAAACTGGTCAGATGAACCCCCATATTTCTTCATGTTCAGTTTTTAGAAATTAATCCTGTCAACCTAGGTGAAATGCTAGTGTGTTTCTACAGTATGGGATTAAGTTAAAAAAAGTTGTTCAGATAAAATTATTGAAGACAACTTGTAAGTGTGTGATTGAAGTTCACATTTGATTTTCGTGAGTATGAAAAAATTAGATTTAAAGAGTCCATACCAATGATACCAGAACGTCTGGACATTGTGACTTTGTAACCAATGATGGTACATGTGTTTTTAAGTATCAGGTCTCTAGTGCAGATCTTGCTGTTAAAGATAATTTTGTAATTCTTTGTCTGAATCAAAGAATTGTGATGATTGTTGTCAAATTTGTCTTTGTTTTTAAAAAAAATTTATACTTTCCCAAGGTATCAACACAGAGATAGACATTTCAGAAATATTCCTGTAGTATTGATCAATGAAATTCAGCATTTTAGGCAAGTTTTAAAAATCATTTATTGTATTTTTTACTGTTGTGTATTATATTACCACAGACCAAGATGATTGGTAACTCTGCTAAGGATTTCCTTCACCCTAACGATATACCAGAACTGAAAAAACAGTTCAATCTTCAGGTGTCAACGGAGGATGGTGACACCCAGCCAATCATTGAAGGAGGTAAGTATTCAGGGAATGATGATGTCTAGGGTGTGGTCAGTATCCAAGGGACTATAGAGGTCTGGAGTTTAGTCATATCAGGGAACTGTAGGGGTCTAGAGTGGTCATTATCCAGGAGACTGTAGGGGTCTGGAGTGGTCATTATCCAGGGGACCGTAGGAGTCTGAAGTGTTCATTATCCAGGGGACTGTAGGGGTCTTGAGTGGTCATTATCCAGGAGACTGTAGGGGTCTGGAGTGTTCATTATCCAGGGGACTGTAGAGGTCTGGAGTGGTCATTATCCAGGGGACTGTAGGAGTCTGGAGTGGTCATTATCCAGGAGACTGTAGGGGTCTGGAGTGTTCATTATCCAGGGGACCGTAGAGGTCTGAAGTGGTCATTATCAGGGGACCGTAGGGGTCTGGAGTGTTCATTATTCAGGGGATCGTAGGAGTCTAGAGTGGTCATTATCCAGGGGACTGTAGGAGTCTGGAGTTTAGTCATTATCCAGGAGACTGTAGGAGTCTGGAGTGGTCATTATCCAGGGGACTGTAGGGGTCTGGAGTGGTCATTATCCAGGGGACTGTAGAGGTCTGGAGTGGGCATTATCCAGGCGGCTGTAGGAGTCTGAAGTGAAATCATTATCTCGGGGACTGTAGGGGTCTGGAGTGGTCATTATCAAGGTAACAATAGGAGACTGGAGTGGTCTTTATCAAAGTGACAATAGGAGTCTGGAGTGAAATCATTTTCCTGGGAATGATGGGAGTCTGGAGTGTGATGAGTATCCAGGGGACAGTAGGGGTCTAAAGTATGGTCTGAATCCAGGTGACAGTGGGACCTTGAATGAGGAATGAAAGTTAATACTTCTGAAAGACTTTCCTTGTATTCAGTCTCATTCAGACATGTTACATTGATTCGACATAAACTTGGGATTGATGGCACATCTTGTTTTCATCACTTCAACATTTTCATCTCATAATGACTTTCATCAATCACTTAATGAGATGACCTTGCATGAACTTGTGTCCATTGGTCTGAAGTATGGTCTGACTTACATCATGGTATACTGAATAACAGCATTACATTTCAGATCAGGTATGTTTTAAACATGCCTGAATGAAGATGGTAATTACAGGTGGGCCTCCAAATAAATCTGTGTTTCTTTTAATACCCAAAAGTATTGTCTTTAGTGAGGTTTTAGGTCACCTGAAACAAAGTTCCCTTTTGTTGTGCATTGTAGACTTTCAACATTTTGGATTTTTTTCTGGAAAACTCCTGACATGATAACAATGAAATTTTACAAACAACCTTCCATGGGTAAAGGTACAAATTTTTTTAATTATGTGGTCCCTGATCTCCCAGAGGCCTGAGGGTGGGGCCATAAAGGGTCAAATTGATTTTAAACTTCAAAAATCTTTTTTTCAAATCCCAGGAAGGGTAGAATCAAATACTCTCCATGAATGAAAGCATCTTAAGGTGCTTTACCAAAATTGTAAATTTCATGACCCCAGGGTCTCACATTTCCCCTAGGGGAGGAGGTGAAATTTACTACAGTTTATATAGGAAATTTACATTTTTTAAGTATAATTTGATTCTTTTCTTTTAGTAATAGTTCAAACTTGGTTAGAATTATTAGTACAAGCTGACAGTATGATGAGATGCACATACTGACCACGGCTTATCCTCAGGGACTGATAGGCAGGGTCAAAATGGGTCAAATTGACTAAAATTTCAAAGATGTTCTACTGTTCCTGGATGGATGATTTTATATTGGAATGTTCAATTTTTTAGTGTAACTTCTTTTATTTCAAAACTTGGTTTGAAGCCTTAACATGGGACAGCAGTTATTGTTATACACAATTTACATTTGCATTATGTGTACAATAAAGTTAATTTACTTTTTTTTAACAAAACCATTTCTTTGACACATTAGAAGAAGCATTCTGACTCAGGTGACTGTTATGGCCCTGGGGCCTTTTGTCTAACGTGAGAGCAAATATCTCCTTATGTGAGATATTTTTATCGAGAAAAAGACATCTTTTCCTGTGATATTATCATCTCAAGAAAGAGATTTCAAATTTAGAATTCAACTGTTTGTTACAGAATCTATGCCCAGACTGGAAGACAAGCGATTGTGCTATCTGAGAATGAGATATAATACGTCCAAACCTGGCCTCCGCAGTCGACACAGTGGATACACAGTGAGTGACCATTGGCTTGTGTAATTCAACACAAAATTCTTTGTACAATTTTATTTTTCAGATCTTCTGATTTGACTGTAGAGTAGCATAGTTCTTGTTGGTGGTTTAGAGTTAGATATAATACGGTAATATCATTGTCCACCTTTGTGTAATGTGGACAGAGACATCTCAACAGAGCGGTAATCTTTGTATAGATACAGTCTTGGTATTGTCCCGAAGGTAGTGCTGTCCAAATCACAGGCCCAAGCTTTCTGCTCGTGGGACTTGTCCTGAACTGTATACGTGGCTCCATCATCAATAGCCTGGCCATAAAGTTTGGGGGGAAATTAATCACATTTTTCCATCGTAACCTGGTCACACTACATATAATGATGATGTGACTATTGTGTGTGTGGTAACTTAGCTTTCTTTTCTCTATGGGGATAGATTCATTTTTCCAGTGCAAACATCGAAATGTATGCGTTAAGTAAGGGAAAATGTGATTTATCTTAATATTCATAACTGAAATGGATTACCATAATATATATCAATATTTCACTATAAGCACGATAATGCGGAAAGATTTCTGACTTTGTGTAAATGAACTTCTTAAAAGGCAACACTCTACTACAATGTAGCACCTTAACAAAACATTCTTAATTGATATTCATTTAAACCATCTTCCACTTCTGACACAATTTAATTTCAACAATTTTAATGTAGAAGTATAATGTATATATATGACTGAGATAACAGGCACAGTCTACATTAAACCTCTCCATCATTACACAGACAAATGTATTAGTCACTTCGTCTGTCTCTTATACATCAATGAGTTCATTCAATTTGTTAAAATCCTTGTGTAAAAATACATCTTGAACACCTATACTAAGGTTTTTGTTGTCATCTGTCGAAAGAGTTAAAAAAAAATTGACTAATCTGAAGAAAAGAGCTTGTGAAAAGATATATTTTTTAAATTAACGATAGAATATTGCCTGGCTACATTTTTTCATTGGTCTGGCACCATCCATTCTTTCGCGTTGATTTTAATGGTCTTTGAGAACATCATCTGTGTTAAGTTATGCTGTGATTGTGCGAGATTTCATGATTAACAACCTCAAAACTTTAAACAGAAAACCTCAGTAATATCCTGGTGGATAAAGGTTTGTATTTTTTAAAAGTTCAATTTTCAGTGATTTTTTTCAAGTATGGAGTAAACAGCCAAAAATAAAGATACCTTGAAAATAAATTTGATAAAGAAAACAGTAGTCTCTTTCAGGACGTGTACAAAATACAGATCCCTTTACATACTGTAAAGTCAATCATTTTTGTCGGGATTTGTTTTCATCTGTTCCCTTGTATTCTTAATCCACAAATTTACATTCCACAAAATTACATAGTGCTTGCAGACTTTGTAAAATTTTACAGCCAACTACAAAAATTTGGAGCGTGGCAAAAACAGGGAGGAAAAAAAACTTTAGAATATATGACTTAATTTCCAAACTTTTCTCTGCTGTCTTGTGAGATATCAAAGAAGGAACTAAATGTTAGAGAATTTTGTTGCAATCTTTTGAAATTTTCCTCTTTCCTTTTTTTTGTTTAAATTTTAAATTCAATTCTCAAAGAATACAGTTGATGTCAACTGTGTGTCCTATTTTTATGACAAAGTAAAATTTTCTGCTATCTGACATTCTTGCACAATTTAAAGCATGTACTGAAAAAATCCATTAATTTGTCTTGAAGAGAGAAATCAGATGAAAAGTGACATATTCATGTATCTACTTTATATACCTCATAAAAACTTGTATCTAAGGTACATAAAAACATTGTGTCAAGTTAAAAAAAAAGGTGGAAAAAATTAAAATGTGCAGGAATTTTGCATGTGCATCACGTTAGTGGGGTCAGTTAGATGTAAAGATATCTTGTCCCTGTTATAGCGATATACATCAGTCCTTATCATATAGATAGACCAACACTGGGTAAGCATGGACCCAGAAGTTTTGAATTAGAATTTCTTTGTTCAGGTGTGTTATTACTATCGTTCATTTACATATATACGATTACATTAAAATCATTAGATTGACTGCTCAGATAACTTCATCCAGTTACAAATTTGGTACTAATTGAAAAGCTTCGGAGAAAACCAGGGCATGTTCTGATATAATCAAAAGAACAAAATTCCATTACATTCATTATAGTCATCCATATGCATTTTTACAGAGAAGAAAAAAAACTGTTTAGCTTTCAACCATTCTACATCTTTTCTTTTTGATTTTTTTTCCTTGTAGGTTTCTTGCATGAAAATCTTTCAAGATTTGATGATTATTTTACAAAATGTTTGTATAAGTAGCCCTGAATATTTTACAGATGTTTTGTTTGATCAGACTTAGGTGTCATATAGACCTAAAGGTTAGTTCCTGTTTTGTTATATCTTCAGAAAGACAGATATACATACAATGTCAAACTTTATAAACAAACTCTTTTACTGGATATTTAAATGCATTCTGTGGTCAAAATTTTAGTGATTGAAGAAATGTCGAAATTGCGTATTAGTGATACTGTTTGTTCTGACTGTGCTGACAGAGGGAGCTATACACAAAACTGTACATTGGTACCTTCCATTTGCAACACAATATGTAAAGAAAAGACTGTCTTCTAAATGGTATGTGAGTGTTTATCCAATGACTACAAGTTGAGGATTAATCAAAATGGACAAGAAGTTAATATGAATTATTCAAACTAACTCCGGATTTTTGTTAGTGAGCTATCTTATCTTACAATCTTGTAATTATGTATAAAAATAAAGATTTGAAACTACTTCCTCATACCTGAATAAGGTCACTGTCACATCCAGTCATATCTAATCCCACTTACCCTGAAATCTGACAAAAGTCAAATTACATTTCTTTCTTATTGCCATCTAAAGGAGAAGCGCCAAGGTCTAACACACTAAAGCTATGTCATATTTGAAAAGTTTCATATCTGATAACGGAGTGTTTGGCGTCCGACTTTTTTTATCTTGTATGAAATATTTGTTGCCTTTACAATGGATTATGTAACCAGAACCATTCAAAATGGTGTTTCCTTCAAAAAACTAATTCTAGGAATAATTTGCTTATGATACGAAATTCTGGTTTTATTGCTGAAAATGATTCTCAGTTTTGAGCCCCAATTAGCATAAACTATCAGTAATGTAAACTCATTAGTGAGTATTGTTAACCCATGAATTTACATAGCTATGAAATATTTAACATTGATTTTAAGTGGAGTTTTTAAGTACAAATAAGCAACCGAACTTCTTGGAGATGGCAAGAAATTTATGCCAACAAAGAGTTATGGTTTTGCTGTAGATTTTTAAGCCACCATCATCAAGAGATGGGCTATTCATATAGCCCTTGATCTGTGGTTCATCATCTGTCCGTAAAGTTATTGTTATCACTTTCTTGAGAAGTACCGGTTGGCACCCTTGGTCCCTAGTTGTGGGACTGATCCGAAACACAAAATGGCCAACAGGCAACCATCCCTTGTACAGCAAGATATTTTTAAACACAGATGTCTGGTCTGTATTCATATTGTTTTCTAGTATGAAATATAGACCTATGTACTTTATATTCTACATTAAATAGGGAACTGAAGGTTTGATTTTCAATGAAAATAAGAAAACAATAAGAGGGAAGTTTGATGTATGATTTAAAATAATTAGGTCACCTTTTCAGGACAGATTAAAAATTACTCTTTCGGGGCTATTTTAGCATAAAGACACTAATAACATATGGATGTTGTAATAATGAGTGATAGGATTTGGACCCATTTTAAGTTACTGTAATTGAATAAAGCTTCCAGTGTTTGCTAATTAGACCTTTTCGCTTTATTGCTGAAGCAAGCAAAAAAAAATTATTCAAAACAGGCCCGAGTTAAAATGTGTGTGAATAATCGGAAAATCAGAATATAGGAAATGTTTGTGTAATTATGTCAACTACAATAGATCCAGAAATCTGTTATAGACTTTCCTGATAAAGGTTCCATCTTCTTTGAAAGAAAACTATTTTCTGGAGAAGATATCAGATAAAAAAGAGAAGAAATGTCTGAAAAAAAGATGGGTTATATTTATTTACAGGACTTGAAGTTCATGTATGGTAATTGTAGCATAATACATATTCAGATGGCCTGTGACTGGGTATATAAATATTGATGATAAGATTGTACACCAATTTACATATGTCCAAGCTGAAGACAACAAGGGTTACTAAGGACAGCATAGATAGGGCCTTGAATGCATAATAAACTTGTGTTTTATCTGATGTTTTGCTCAGTCGGATGGCGGACGTGTAATAGGGATTATAACATGGAGTCTGGCCATGATGTCCGTCACTCGACACCTTGAGATTGATGGCCGATTGCCTCCAGTTTCATATCTTCGTATCCCATAACTCTTTTGTAACTAAGTGAGTTTTATGAAAAGTCATCATCGCTTTGCAAGATAATCGGGTCGTTTAGGCCATAACTACCCTTATGTGGTCTCAACGTCAAGCATGCAGCAAATTTTAAAACTTTGTAACATGTTTGTATTTGAATGGGAAAGGAATTCCTCTTTGGGGATTGTCAATTCAGGCAAACATGTGAGTGAACACCTTTAGGGTTCCATGTTTGTGAAAGCAAGACACAATTTCTAGTTTTTGTTATATATGTTTGACATAGTGACAAACTCTAGATTCTAGTCAAGGTAGTTCCACTAAAAAAAGATCAATGTCATTAAGTCAGTATTGTAATGGAAGAGGTTTGTACAACTGAAAACATTGATTTGAGAACTAAGTTGAGTTAAGTTTTGGGGTAATAGAAATTAAATTATGGTTATTTTAAAAAATTATAACTTGTAAATAATAGATCTTGCATTAAAAACCAAATTTTAAACTGATTTTATTGGAATGAATACTTCAGAATGTTTTTGTGCTTTGAAATAGTGGGAAGAATTTCTCTTGAAATGTGAAAATGTCATAATTTAATTTAATTCTTGTTTTCAT